TGAAATTTTTATATTTGTTTTAATGTTAATGTATTATAATTGATGATGGGGTTATGATCTTTTTAATGTCAATCAGATAAATAAAGATGGAAATAAAAGTTTACAAAATCAGAATTTACCATGCACTGCAAGTGCATGTACATTCTTATTTTTATTTAAATTTTGCTGATTTATTTCCATATATCAAAGTTTATTACGTCATTACCATTATCACATTCTTTAATTTTTTAAAAACAGATTTCAGATAATAAGTGACAATTAAAACACCCATAGGTCACATACACTCTAAAATGAAAAATGTACACTTATCATGCTTATGAGACTTAATAATTTCTGGGAACAGTATATCTAATGATTATTTCAATGGTAATGACCACTATGCTAACAAAAAAATTAAGAAAAGAACCTTCAGAGGAAAACCAATTTTTGACTGTATTAACAATACACAGTGTTATTTTTATCTTTCATTTTTTATCAATTTATCCATTTTCCCCAAAAAACGTTTACTTCGATACTTGTATACAGCTGTTCCATAATAATTTTGAGACGGTGCTTTTACTTACCAGTCATTTTTTATATCCTTCAGATCAAATTTGAATATTTAAACTCTAATGCTTAATGACTTTCAATAATGTATCCTTTTGTAAGTTAACAGGTTTATAGCAGACGTATCTGAGTGAATGGCAACATGTTTCTAAAATTCCATAAACAAATAGCTCTTTTCTGTGGGAGGTATTTTAAGTCGATTTACAAATCAACCAATCGAATACATTTTTAGAAAACTTAGTTGGCGGGAAATTTTTAAAAAAATAAGTGACTATGGTAGTTCAGTATCTAGATGTTTCTTCTACTTTTTATACTATTTCAAGTTATATTGTTTGCTATAGTCTTATGTGAGACCAAATACATATATTGATAACAATTGAAATAGTTGTGACGGGATTGCTTCCGTTGAATAGTAAGATACTTAAGTCAGCCGTAGGTGGTTGAGCTAAAAAAGTACTTCTTTAGCTCAGTCGGTTAGAGGGTTACCTTGTAACACAGAGGTCCCTGAGGAGATAAAGTGATTTTGTAAGAAGAGAATCATATGCTCTCTGGTTATATTTGGTGCCAAACTTAAAAATCCACATTGGTTAGAGAGGATTTCTAACAAGGGTATCTGTTATGAGTCATAATGGTATGATGACTCTTGAGGTGGGGGAAGTGTGACGGGATTGCTTCCCTTGAATAGTAGGTACTTAGTCACTTTGTAAGAAGAATCATGCTTTCTGGTTTACATAGTTACTTTTTTTTATCTAAGTTTAATCAGTGACATATATATATATGAGGAGCCTGATGGGTTATTTTCGTTCTTCATGATTGGCGCATTTTCGCTATCGTGATCCGTTTTTCTACAGATTTTTTTTTTTTTTTATATTTTCGTGATCCGTGTTCATGGAAATTTATATTCTGTGAATCGTGATTGACAAAAAAATCAACTCGTGAATCGTGATGAGACCCCCCCTTCAGGCCCCTCATATATATATCCCAGGATTAATAAATAATTTTTAAAACTTAGTTAATAGACCTGATTTGATCTTATTTGGTAATATTGAACACTAGACCTAAGATTTTGCCTCACATGAAATATTTAAATTATGCAAGTCAGCAAACACTAAATAAATGCATTGTGATGTTTAAAAGTTATTTGTTTTGTTATGATACACAATTCTTGTCTTTTACCTCTAATATATATTTTCATCCCTGGAGGTCATGTTGGTTGCAAAGTAGGATCATTTGACACAGTTTACTCATTCATATTTAAAAATTTGTTTTTCTGTTACATATCAATTTTAGCATGTTTACATATTAGAAAACTTTAGAGAATTTTTGGTGTGTAAAGGGAGCAAACTCTTCTTATTTGTATGATATACATGCTTGTTTAAATGCACAAATATTTTAACATGTATATCTATACAATCCATCTTGTATTTCGCATATTCATAAAAAAATATTGTAAATTGTGGTGTACAGTTGCTTTCTCCTAGACGACATATACCCAACATCTTTGATTCATTGTTATAAGGATCTATAAGGAATAATATCAATTAAATAAGATGTGATTTGTCTGCCAATGAGACCACTTTCCACCAGAGACCAAATGACATAGAAGTTAGCAACTATAGGTCACCAGAACAATATAAAGCAACTATCCAAACCACTAAAAACACAAATTTGTCAACCACACAAAAATATTCATTGAACATACCAGGGTAATTGAATTTTTTTTAAAGAAAAGCCACTACAATGTGTACTTCATTCTTCACCTGTATTAAATTTTAAGTTAGGGTGGGCATGTTAGTTCAACAGATGGGAAATAAATTGATTGGTGTTTAACACCACTTGTAGCACTATTGTCCTATTTCATGTAAATCAGTTTTTATTGGTGGAGGAAGCCGAAGTGCCTAGAGAGAACCACAAACCTTCGGTAGGAAAACTGACAATTCTAGTCAATGAAGATAGGAGTCGAGCTCACCTGCCACTAGGTCGACTTCTTAGTCCACTTGGCCATCGAGGCCCTTGTAGATAATAAAACAAAAGAAGCAGCCCAAGGATGATATAGGCCAGTCAAAGTGATTTTAAAGGAGAATATGTTAATTGATTGACAACAAATGACAATAGTTCAAATTGTCTTTGAAGCTGTTAATGTTGGTACAGCATTATAGGTTTTACGTATGTCATGTTGATCCAATCTTAATGTATTCATGGACTGACAGTATAATCAATAAACTTCATATCCTGGGAAATCAATAATGAGCACTTAAATATGAAATGTATTTCAAGTCAAACTATCCAATTACCATGTTCAAGCTACCCACAAGAAGGTGAAATGCCTGTCATTTTCATTTGGTAACCTTGTGTATTTTCATCTGTGCACTTGTTACAAAAAAAACAGACCATTACTGTCCATTGATTAATTTCTGATAAGGCAATAACCCTTATTTATTTGCACAACTAAATGAATCCACTTGACAGCCTGGTGTTCTTTTTATTAGACAACTTCTGTTTTAAGTCAAAGCATTTCTTGTATATGGATTTGAAAAAGCCAGATCCCCGAGAAGAAAGGAAAAGGACAAAAGTTTTTATTCATATAAAGTTCATGTAGAATGTAGTTACTTTGTGTTAGTAAGTTAGTTGTTTTCTAATTTCAGTCAATTCCATGTCCATATTTTATTAAAAAAAAATATTCAAGGAAGTGACTGACTGCGCGGCAGGTCTGAAAATCCCTTACACAGTACGATTCAATCATTAAAAACTTCCAGGCCAAATTTCAAACATTCCTTAATACAGACTCTGAGAAATAGGTAAACAGAAAATGAAGAGACAAGGTCACTACAACATACCAGTAGTTATTAAGGAGTTTATTGGTGTGTAAACTCAAACTTTTACTCAAGACTAAAATAGTCCTTTGGACTAAATTCAGTTTTCTATCTCATCTTTTTTATATGTTTTATTAATAAATATACCCCTATGCCCTTATTTCTACGTTTTTCTTTTGATACCATACACCTTAAATTTTTACCCAATACCTTTCTTTCTTTTCATTTATTGTTACATACTAAATTCTTCCAATTAAACTCTATCCCACACCTTTATCGTGCTAGGTATACATTCGTAATTCAAAGTACAGGAAAACAGGAAGTAGGTGCCTAACAAATTCCCAAAAGCACACATAGATTACAACTTATCACTGTTGAGATGCTGACCAAATATGAAGTCATTCTGTTTTATTGTAGCATTGAAGAAATATGTGACAAAAAAATTCATCTTCATTCAACATTTTGAAAAGTCAAAGTATTGGCAAACAGTAAGCAGGTATCTGGCAGATCTCAAAAGAGCTCACACATTATAACTTGTCACTGTCAAGCAGCTTACCAAATGTCAGGTCAATCTGTTCAATGGTTCCTGAGAAAATTGTTTCAAAAATATTTGTTAAACAAACAGACAAGGTGATTGCCCCACTCCTAATTATTATAGTATACTAGAAAAAACCCACGGGAGCACGGGTTGAAGACTACTTGAAATGTTTGTGGTGATACACAGCTTGGGTTGGTGTTTCTCAAACTGTTTTTATGCACTGATGCTTTATGTTTTTATTAGTTTGTCAGTTCTTCTTCCATAGGAGTTTGAATGTCCAATTAGTAGCTTCTGTCTCGGTGTTACACAGGTGCTCCTAAAATGGAGGAAATAACTCAGAGAAGAAGACAACCTAGAACATTGATGATTAAAACATTTCTCAGTGGTGCTAGTTTGTAGTATTTCTTTTTTTCCTCGAAAGGTGCAAGTCAAGTTCTGTCTCTGTGTGATATGGGTGCTCCAAGGATGGAGGAAATATCTCAGAGAAGAAGAAGACAATCTAGAACTCTTTGATAATTAAAAACATTTCTCCAGTGGTGCGAGTTTGTAGTATTTTTTTATCGAGTGGTGCGAGTTCTGTCTCTGTGTGACACGGGTGCTCCGAGATAGGAGGAATTTACTAAGAGATGAAGAAAACAATCTAATGATTAAACACATTTCTTCGAGTTTGTTATATTTCTTTTTTTTGAGTGGTGCGAGCTTGATAAAGTGATGCAAGTTGTAATAATTAGTGAAAGTATTTGAGTGGTGCGAGTTGGCTGTAGGCTGAGTTGTCGGGCAGTTCGTCGACTTAGCATGCGCGAAAGCGTATAAGACATGGATCAATAATGGTCTCCGAAATTCCGAATTTGGATATTTTCTCAAAAATTGGCGTTTTCTGTGGAAAAAAGATTGTTTCAAAGACAAGTTTAGGAAAGTACAAAACACTACATTTATACGTCATATCACAAATATTCCCGACTTTGTATGGTTTCAGAGGAGTTGTGGCTCAATGAAATCAGTCTCCTTCCTTTAGAAATATAGATTACATGCTCTTGTTAAGAGTCAAAGTGTTTACGTCTTGTCTTAAGTCTTTCAAATGGATAAGGATATAAAACAAAACAAACTTTAAAAAAATTTATTCAACTTGAAAGTTTAATGACCATGATAGTTGTGATGTACATGTATGATGAAAGTTTATGCAATAACTTGATACAGATCTGTTTCTAAATTTGTAATCTGTCTCCTAATCAGCTCTAGTAAAATTAAAAAGTTAAAACAATGGTAAGTTCTATATCATTACTCAAAACAAATTCAATTTAAAATATATCTGGTATCCCCTGATATTTTTGATAAATCAAAATGTTGGAATAGTACTGAAAATAAGAAGTTAAAGAAAAAACATTTGTTAGTTTCCTTTTTCCTTACATAAATGCAAAATTTAACATGGAAACACTGACAAACATGTATAAAACTATCACCAGACTAACCTGTGTTTAATTAATAACTTTAGTAGGAAATATTTTTATTAGTAAAACTGTTGAAGTAAAAGATAACTGTTTTACAAATACTGTAATCATACTTCAATTACTTGTATATGGATACTTTTCCATTTGAACAGAGCAATAAACTTCATCGACAATATCATTATCTTTCATTGAAGCATTTAGTTTGTTATTTTTCAATTTCACAGTAAATGGGTAATTTTGCAACCAAAAAATTTAATTATTGCAACAAATGTGAAATTTGTTTGTCAAAGTCTTTAAAAGGAACATGGGACTATTGTCTCCCTTGGTCATAGTGGTAAACCATGAAGTCCTACATTGGAAGTTATCAATTATATCTTGTCATTAACCTGTACAGCGGATCATCAATAAATTGTGATTCTCAGTCTTATTTTTATGCTATTACTCTAGAAATACCTCTTAAAAAAATAAGAATGACAACCACTACATACAGAATGAAGTACTGTAAATTCAGAAACTATTGTGAGATTTTTATTAATGCTTATAATGTGACTGGGTGAGTATCGCAATAATAAGAACATGCATTCTAATATCTGATACATATATCTGTATACAGATTTTCCTGAAATTGTAATAATTCTCGCATTTTTGTCCTTTCTTGTAAAATCGCAATAAAAAATGCATGCAATAATTACTGAATTTACAGTATTACTTCAAGCTCTATTTCAATTTTTCTATTGTTATAAATATTTTCTATTTCAATGCAAACCATAAATTTTATATTGACAAACTTTGAATAAAGTCTTTCATATGTGGAAAACATAAAAAAATTATCTCTATCAGAAAAAAAAATGAAATGCAACTACTTATCATTAAAATAATTTTATGTTTTATTCTTCAGTGCAAATGGTAGAAAAGTTTGAATTAACAAACATGTATGTGAAAAAGAATCCATGTTTTACTATGGGAAATCCCAAAAATAAACATCAAAGTCAGAAATTGGAAATTAACTAGACAGTAATACTACACATAGTATGAAGTAATAATTGTCAAGTTGTTTTCATTTCTATCTGAGCTGTAGCATAGACAAACTTTTGTGACCAATGGAGGACATAACCTGGAAGGAGACTTTATAAACCATAAATTCCTACCAATTATAAACGCCTTACAAGATGTTACACAATTTTGATTGGGTTGTAAGTACAACATTAATAAATCTCAGAATAAAACATCTCATTAAAGTGGTACATCAAGTCTTAACAAATTACCTGTACTATAAATTGTAAATAGAAGTTTATTGCTCTGACATCTCTCCAAAAAACTAAACTTGGACATTAAGCTATTTTAATTATCATTAAAATTGACCGATTCTAGGTCTGTCTTATATACAAAATAAAATTTCAAAACTAAAAACAAACTATTAACAAATGATAATAACTTTGGTTAGTTTATCATAAAAAAAAAGAACTGACCACATGATGCCGATATATTGTATAATTCTTTGAAAAACTGTTCCATTTTGAAAAATCTTTTTGTCTGACATTGGTAGCAATGTTTTTTTCTAATTTACTGAAACGCCAGTTTTTGTCTATCAAATGTTATTCTAGAAAGAAATTGAAAAACACTTCATAATAAAAGTTCTTGTAGACTTTTGATTTTTTTTTATATAAAAAAAATAATCACTTAAATGTTTTTAAAAATTCCATTCAAAATTTGAAACCCTATATTATACTCTTTGATCTCATACTTGCATGTGTCAGTCAGTGAACCAAAAACAAATCATTTTGTAAAAAATAAAACTCATGAAACCTGAATTCATTTTTTATATACATACATGTATATGAAATGTATCATTTAATTTATTGTTACAAAATTGTAAATAACTATATAAAACTTTACTTCCAAATATGATTAAAAACAGAATTAATTTTGCATCAAATATTAAAATAATCTTTTATGTATTTGATGTACAATAATGAGACTTTGTCCTCCAATTCACGTACATAAATTTTCTGAAAAAAAAAAGGTCTTACAAAACTACAGTAAAAAATTTTCATCCTATCTGTGAAGAAATCAAACATTAATTCTTCAAAATAAAAAGAAATTACTTAATTATTTTTCATAGTTTCATTTATCTTTTGTGTCAACATTTAACAAAGCTTTTATTGACTTCATTATTATGATCTATGGTGCATATCTAATAAATACAAAAAGAACATCAGTAATTAATTTTTCAATAACACTGTTATTTTTTTCACTTATACAGTAATTGTAAAATACAATTAAATGCTTATATTGAATAATTATACTATGAATCAATTCAACATTTAACAAGAATACAATTAAGGAAAATTTGAAAAAACTAGAAATAGGTGATCTCTTGATCACAGATGCTCCTGCTTACAGCATACTATGAACAGAAAATGTCCATTCTGTCAAAACTGAGCTTGTATATTATGGTAAATGATAATTTATTTTAATTCATAAAGACAAGTATAGTTTTCATGAACTTTTCTAAGATCAAGGACCAGAGTTCTGCCAAAAGCACTTTATTGTATACTACCTCAAGTTTACATGTATATATATGGGATATCTCACAGATTTTTATGAAATTTTTCATGCAGCTAGAAGCTAGAGCAAGAGGAGCTGTATATTCATTTTGACCTGAGAATGCACTAATTTCCAATATCACATATGTTTGTTTAGTGAACCATGAAATTTGTGTCAAAAATATAATTTGGTATATAAAAGTTGACATCTTAATGAATATGTGTACTAAATATCAAGTTGATGTGATGACAATTTATTGTTACTTATCTTAACCAAAAATTTTATCCTGATACAAGGTAGAATAACAGACAGACAGACCAGAAAAACATATTGCCCCCTACTAACGTAGGTGGGGCAAAAAAGCTAACAAAACTATAACACAACATAATTAAACATAGCACCTTTGTTGTATAACATCAACAGAACATAATGAAATAAACAAGACAACTTATAACTAGCATTTGTTTGATAGTCAATACATGGTTGTTGATGGTGATACAATATTTCTATTGCCATTTATTCTAATCTCACTATAAAAAAAATTCTGAGGCAATCAAGATATCAAAATTCTAGTCATGGTATCCCGAAGTAGTTGTATACTTGTGTAACATCAGAACAAACATATGTACACTAACACACAATAATTAAAATTTTTGTGAAATGATACCCTGCTTTTTTCAATGTCACATGACACCAATCATAGTTACATCAACAACCAAGGTAGCTACAAATACACATTATATTTGTTACTCAGCATTATAGAAACAAATTATTCTACTGATGATTTAACGTTCTTTCATCAATTTGTCTATTGAAATTTCTCCATATAATAACCATTAATGTTGCAGCTACATCACAGGGATAAACTTTGCTGACTAGATAGTTCAACTTCATATTTCTTCACCTGAAAAAAAGTAAATATAGAGAACATGATCATTACTTTAAAGATATGTTCTCCTCAAAGCCCTCCACAACAATGCAAACTAGTAGTCTCAAGACTGCAAAACAAGAGGCACATTTGAGCCTGTATTGCTCGCCTGGTGAGAAAATCACCATTTTGCAACTAAGGACTTTTATATGCACATACTAATTACTAAAGTTACTCTTTGTGTTGCTGATTATTTTTTCAATTTACATAAATGACCTAGCTTCTATCATTTTTTTAGATGACAGCAAAAACCTAAAAAATAGTAAAAAATCAACATTTCAGAGGCAAAAACTAAAAAAAGGGTTGTCAAAAATTTAAAGAGGCACCAAGATATCCATTAACAAGCTTTCAGAACTTTCCATTTCTATGTAGCAACATTCCAGCAGCGCCTGCATACAGAGTATATATCTCCCAATTGATACGATATTCCCGGGCTTGTGTTTCCTTGATAGAGGATTGCTGCTCACAAGGAAGCTATTTAACCAAGAGTTCCAAATGGTGAAGTTGAAATCATCCCTTCGTAAATTTTACGGACGCCATCACGAGTTGGTTGACCGTTATGGAATAACCGTTTCACAGATGATATAGGATATGTTCCTTATGCCGTAACTACAATACCCTTCCCTTTTCACGAATGTGACTTACCGAATTATACTATTTACCGGATTTGTAATAAAATAAGCAACACGACGGGTGCCACATGTGGAGCAGGATCTGCTTACCCTTCCGGAGCACCTGAGATCACCCCCAGTTTTTGGTGATGTTCGTGTTGCTTAGTCTTTAGTTTTCTATGTTGTGTCATCTGTACTATTATTTGTCTGTTTGTCTTTTTATTTTTGGCCATGGCGTTGTCAGTTTGTTTTCGATCTATGAGTTTGACTGTCCCTCTGGTAACTTTCGTCCCTCTTTTTTCAGCCATTCTTAAATATAAAGCAAATAGTTTACGGCACCGACACTTGTTTAGTACCAATAAGTCTCAAATAGACAAGACAAAATTACAGTTAATGTAGACCTACCATATTATTTTATCATTTTCAGTGAGACTTCTGCTTCTTTGATTTGTTGTATTCTAAAGGTGACTGACTTGCTCTTTTATTTGAATTCTGAGTATTGGGACTAGTATATTGTTCGTTTCTTCCTGAGCTTTCTTTGTTCAGACTAGGAATAGATTGTTTTAGATGTTTCTTTTCATCTGGAGAATTCTTTGAATTAGAATCATTTCTCCCTGCACCAAACAACTGAAATGCTAAATTCTTCTTCTTTGACTTATGACTGGATTTACTGTCAGACTTATTTTTATCTGAATGTTTTGATTTTTTAACTTTGTTAGATCTTGAGGTTTTTAATTTTATCTTAGAATCTGATTGCTGATGGCAGAGTAATTTTCCAGTTGTATGAAACGATTTACTACTATGTTCAACATTTCTTTCAATATTTGCAATGTTAACATTTTCAGGTAGATGAAGTTTTCCTAAAAAGGCAAGAAACATATTCCTCTTCTTCTTGTCTGTTTCATTTCCAAACAAACCTACAAAACAAAACTAAACTTCTTAAAAATCCTGTAAGTAATTTTTTAGGCACTATTTTGAGGTACAAATAATTTAGCTTGTTTTGTAGAATCTGACTACATTGAACTATTTTTATTGTACATGTTGAATCAACACAAATATCATGAGGTGTTCAATTCAAACTTCTGTAACCCAGGATGACACAGATACAAATGTATGTAGATTTTTATATTAAATCTGATACATATTCACCAGACTCTTGACAGTTGAATTTTAAATATTCAAATTATAAATATTGAAAGTTGATAAATACATGAAAAATAATATCACAGAAGACGCACAGACAGTTGTAGCAGTTTCTTCCATAAATTTGTTGGCAAACTAATGTTTGTTTATTCAAAAATTGTGTTCTTCCGTTATGGTGTCATCAGGCATTGTTGCCTATTTACATGCTGTGTATTTGGTAAATTGAAGTCATAGATACAATTTGAACCAATGAAAACAATCTTTCTTTTTGACCCAACAAAACATCCCTGGTTAAAAAGTACATTATCATTTCATTAGACATGTTGGAGTGAACGGTTTGACTTTATACTTTTAATATTTTTAAACAACATTTTTATATATACATGATATACTTGAAGTTGTACATAATATTCACTTGTACATGTATAAATTAGTTTGTCTGATTAAAGATTTTTTGTTAAAACTTGGATAAAATCCCCTTATCATGCTTATCATGCCAATACTGAATACTTCTCCAAAAACTTAAAACTCCTGAAATTCTCTGGTTTTGGGAAGTCAATTCAAATATATAGTATTATAATATTAGCATGATTAGTACCTGGTTTAAGTAAGTGTTACATTTTTTAATTCGAGTTTAAGTTTATATCTCAAGAACTTTACTACGCACAGATGTTGAGTAAGGGTGCAAGGCCTTTAAAACTTGTTCACTCGAGGCTTGTAAATGGGCAGTATTTTAAGACAAATAAGATTTTCATTAGTCAATGAAATTGTACTGAAGACAAGTTTTGTTACGCACAGACAGTTAAACAGTCTAAAACTCTTTTAAAGCAAAGTAGTCAAGAGAAATTAAAGAGAGGAAAGTATAAATTTCTTATAATTTGTACAATTAAAAATATCTGGACAGCTTTATAAGGAGATACCTCTACATCCAAAATTAATTACAAGTACCAGTAAATATAATTTACTTGTACAAGTATTACCCCTGACTGACCCTCAAGTAACTATAACATCTTACCTTGATATGTCTCCTTTGTACCAGGTTTTAATCTTATCCTGACTTTCCAATGACCTGTACTAGTGTCCTTATATGATTCAATAGTCATGTGACTTTCTACCTCATCAATAAATTTACATATTCTGTCTCTGCTCACTTCATCACAAAATTCACTTCTTAAACTATTTTCAGTATTTGTACTGAATGCTACTTTGTCAATGTTTGAATTTTCATCAGCAAAGGAACACAACTCAATATGTTCTTTACTTTCATACAAGTCTGGTACTGGTTCAAAATAAGTAAACTTATTCTGTGGATTTGTTTCATCTATTTTTGGTTCTTCATATTTTAAAGTCTCATCATTTTGCTGATCAGTGCAGATATCTGCATCTTCATTTCCTGATATCATTTGTTCATTTTCTGTTTCATCTGTAATCACTTCAGCCAGGGAAGCTAACAAGTCCAAAGGATGATCTCCCAACTCGGACAACTTTTTTACTTTAGCATGATTTAAATCAATTTCACCCGATTTCTTAAACACAGGCGAGTTCAATGATGATGTCCTTTTGAGGTTCGAAATAGGAGAATTCTGACACGATCCACTTTTGGGTTTTGTTGGACTTAATGTTTTAGCTCTTCTCTCTCTTTCTTCAGATTGGTCACTGTGAGACCTTTTGTCCTCTACATCGGGAGAGAACAAGTTTTGTAATGTATTGTGTCCAACATTTTCCCTTGAATCAAATTGCTGGATGGGATCAAAATTTTGAGCTTCTGATGAATGTATGGTATTATTAGTTGATATTGTTTTATTGATAGTGGTGTCAGAGTATTTTTCAGTCTCCTCATTGTCACCTGTTGAATTACTCACTAGCTGCCTTTTGCAGTTATCTCCCTTAGATAAAATCTGACCTTGCTTTGAGGCAGATAGATTTATTGGCATCTCTGTCTCATTTCTAAATTGCAAACTTAACTCGGTTTCTGAGCTAGAAATATGTGAATTTTCTCTATATATTGTGTCAGTTTGATTTGTAGGAACAATTTCAGGTGAATTAGATTTTTCAAAATGTTCAAACTGTTGGTATAATCTACTGAGAGGTGAAGTACTGTCTGTAAATGGATGGTTGTCACTGTTATCCATCATCTCTACAACAACATTCTCTTGTGATGGTGTCTCAAACATATTACTTATACTCCCGTCTAAATCTATACCAGACAAAATACGAGATTCTGTTCTCGGAGTTATCCCTATGTTTTCTACCTCAACATTTGATGGTCCTGGACTTTCAGTGCCCAAATGAAAATGGTTTACAAGACTGTCTACAGCATCCTGTGTCTCATCACTTTCACATATTTCTCGAGTTGCACTGCTGGTCATATTGTTTGAAATTATTTCAGAATCTTCCAGCTTTTTCTTTCCTCTCCTGTTTGAAGCCTTAGCTTTTGATTTTTTATTATTAGGGGTTTTCTTTGTTGAAACTGACAACATGACACGATCCTCTTTCACAGTAATTTTGATATTTTCAGTTTCAGACTGTTTGTTTTGCCCTTTCTTAGAACTTCCATTAAAACTGTATGGCTTTTCTGCTGGTTTCACTCGAAAACTTGGAGTTTTTCCTGGTACATACTTAGCTTCTTTTTTATTTTTCTTCTTTGAATCCTTTCTAGTTTCAGAAACTGTTTCTTCTTGCAAAACATTGTTCTTTGTTAAGAAATTAATTGCACTTTTTTTATCTTCAAAAACATATGTTTCTTGATCTTTGTTTGACTTTTTGTTCTTTGAAGTTTTACTTGATTTACTTTTTTTCTCCCTAAATGAGAAGTTATGATCAGACAAAGAATCTTCCATTGGTTTTTCATATACAAATGCTGACTCATTCAGCTTTTCAGGGGTTTCATAGCCAACAGCCTGTTTGGATGACAATTCAAATGATTTCAGGGTTGGCTTTTGTTTAGGTTTGCTAAAATTTGGAGTTTTAGATAGTGCTGAATTTGTTTTCATACTTGTTTTCTTCATCACAACCTCAAATGTTTTAGGATCCATTGTAAAAACATCATTGTCTGACTGATGATCATCCCTACCAAAGATATTTGTCACAAAATCTTCACTGAAATTTACTGTAGCAAAGCAAGTATATAATTCTGAATTGAAACCTGGGGAGCATCTTCCCATGCAACATACACATCTTAAGGTAGCAATGTCAATCCACATGGTGTTTGTAACACTGTATTCTGGTGTATTCAAATAACTGTTCAGTATACTTGGTGCAAGACGAGGACGTTGGCGTAAAGCACCAAGACGAGCTTGAAGTACCTGTAGCTTTATCACCTGATTTTGACATAGTTCTTTAAATGAGACATAAATTCTATTATCCATCTTAAACGCCACAAATCTAAGACCACCTGCTTTAATAAATCCTACAGAATAACATTTTGACTCATTTTCCCCAATTTTGGTTTCTTTGTTTAGCTTCACATACTCCTCTGGTTCTTTACTGTAAAGAATTATTCCTCCACAATTTCCACAGCGTACATGTCTTTGTAGTACCTTCTTATAAAAATTACCATTAGCAATATCTTTTATTTTGTTGTCAAATCCCGGTTTATCTCCTTCATACATGACAATGAACTGAGCCATCTGACGTAGCGTGTTTAATGATACAGCACATGAATACCGACATGTTGGACCTATACAATTCCTTTGCTGCAGATAACCAATTTCCTGTGTTGTCAAAGTGCACTGGTCAACATCTTCCTTTCTCTTGAGAAATCCTATCAAGTCAGACTCATACTGAGGCATCATTTTTTCAATAATTTCACCTACAGCAATGTATCCTTTTTTCTGATTGTGAAATATTCCAGCAAACTCTCTGTTACCAATGACAACAATGCCAATCTGTGGAAGGAAATATAACTGACCTCTACACAACCAAATTTGTTCTACTGCTACAAGCTTATCAATAAAGTCACATTTACAATTTGGTGGATAATTTGAAAAATCAGGTTCATTGCTAGTAATACAAACATCAACTTGACCTAGAATGTGTTCTGGTACTTTTTCAGACTTGTCTAAGTCTGGTTGAATGATTTGTGATATTGTACTGAGATTGATTTGTTCTGTAAGGTTTGGAGCCGTATACTGTTGTTGGTGTGATTCACTTTCAATGTATTGTGGTAAATCTATCATTGTCTGCCTCTGCTGAGTGCTGTCAACGACTACTGACACAGATACATCAGATATAAGATTTGTAAACTCCTCCACTTCATGATCGTTTAAAGAATTTAATGAATCTAACACATTACTATCCTGTTTATGTGGGTGTATCATAGCATTTGAGTGACAGGGTGTTATTTGTTGTAAGTAATTCTGTCCAGGCTGTTGTAAGATGAGTGGATCCATTTGAGTTGTTGTTGGTGATTCAGTTGTAGAATCAGGCAAATTACAAGTCTGATTTACCAAAGATGAGGTAGTTTTAGTCGGATGAAAAAATGTTGTAGTGGGAAGGAGATGTGTCAGATCCATATCTTTATATTTCTATATCCACCTGCAATAAAAATTCACACTTCAAAAAAATGAGACAACAAAATACAGAAAAAAGTTTACAAAACACTACCTAGCAAACTAAAGATTGAGCAACACAAACCCAACCAAATCTTGGGGTGATCTCAGGTTTTTAGGAAGGGTAAGCAGATCCTATTCCACTAGTGGCACCCGGCTCATGATACATGTAAGTAAAAATTTAATGACAATATAACTTCTATATACAATCAAATTTTGTTATGCTATTTCTCTGCAAAATTTTCTAGAAATTATCAACTGAGATTGTAGTCGCATTAGAGTCATTGTGTAATTAAAAGTCAAAGGTCAAATTGAACATATAAAAATTACATTGAGCGAAAAAAGGAAAGAAATTGCTACCTAAACAAGCATTCTGAGAGTATTGCATGGCAATACATAGTCCCCTACCGGGTAAAAATTCATTTTACTGGAACAAAATGCTAACTTGTTCTATAACTTGTCATGGTGTAAACAAAAAGTAAATATCATGTCAATATCTTCAAGCATGACTAAAAACAGTGTGGAAAACTGATTATATGAGTGAAAAAAACATTAGATATGATTAATAGATCTCTAAAATTAGATATGATGTAATACAGTGAATATCTATTTTCAAATTATAATCAAATATAATTAATAGTTCCAAATATTTTTTCTTTCATTTGTCACTAACTAATATAGATTTGTAACTTATCTATAAAATGTCAACAACTTTTATCTACACAATGTAATGTATTGAAATATATATACATTAATAAAAATAGATTATTATCTAATTAAAGGATTTCTCTTCAAAATTTATTTTATATATATAGCATTCAGAAAATTAGTTTATACTAAATAACAAACAAACCTGCCAAAAAATTCTTCAAATAATTTAACAAAGAATGTCTTTTAAAAAATGAGTTATCTCCCTTTGTACAGAAATATGGTTTAACATAGTACTCTAACATTAGATATGGTCCAGAGTTATAATAATGGTCCATAACTCTGGACTAAATCATCAGACCGGAACAAATTTGAACTTGATCTATAACTTGTTATGATAAAACTATATACCATATATTAAATCAATATCTTGAAGAACGAAGAAAAAAAGTGTGGAAAGCTGATTTGCCGGACTGACGGATGGACAGACGGACAGATGGACGGAGTGCAAACCTAAAGTCCCCTTCGACTTCGTCGGTAGGGGACTAAAAAGGAACAACTTAACTGCGGATAACCCATGTTGAATTATTTGAAGATTTTGTCTTGTGGTTCATCCTTACTTCTATTATAGTTTTTTAAGATGTTTGCCAAAATTGCATAAAATTGGTGAAAAAATCACCATGTGTGGTGTTAAGGGCAATAACTACAAAATGTGTTCTATCAGCAGTCATTTGACAATTTGGTCCAAATAGAGAGTAGGTAGATTTCTTGACATTCTGAACATTTCTGTCTTGTCATATTTACTCTATCTATAATGGTTTTAAAGATAATTAACAATACTTGCATTTTACCCTTATGTTTTATTTTCAGCCTTAGTAGCCATGCGTTTTGGTGGCTGGTGGGATCATCAGACAATATTTTTTAAATCAAATGCCCCTAGGATGATTGTGGCCAAGTTACGTTTCAATTGGTCAAGTAGTTTTAGAGGAAAGATTTTTGTAAAAGTAAAAAGAGGACTGACATGTGCACCAAATTAGTGATAAGAAAAGCTCAAACATACCTTTGAGCCATATAAGCTGAATACATGTATATCAGATAATATTTTAAAGCTTAACACTTTAGGATGACATTGGATAAAATTGGTGCAAACTGGCCTTGAACTATTAGAACATGCTATCATATAAAGAATAATGAATTTGTATCATGTGTTTTTGTTATGCTTTAGAGAGTACATATCTAAATAAGAAATATTGCTGCAAGGTAACTACAGATCCTGTCACTATCATCATTTTCTAAACTTACATTGAACACTGCACTTAACACAATTTATATTCTATGAAAAGAGATGTGTGGCATACATCAATGAAACAGCAAACAAACAAGAGTTTGGCCTGTGTGACCTTCCAGTAATCACACACTTTAACATTTGTTCTAGATAAAGGAAATAGCATGCACAAGTATCCTTTCTTCATGTTCCTAGACTATTGACTTTTTATAAATTTTAGTGAAAAGAAACAAATCTGGGTTTACACCATGTGTAATACTTATAAGATACATTTACATACCTGCAGGTAATTTATCTGATTTTCACAATCTTTTCATAATCTTTATCTTTCACAAGTTAATACACTAAAAAATATGAAAAAAACAAAATAAGTTATTCTGTTGCCTTATATATACACTTATATATGTAAGACTCTAAAGTGCGATCGTCACGCTAAAGTGCGATGGTCTACGCTTTTGTGCGATGGTGTCTCATGCTAAAGTGCGATGGTTGTTTGTTTGCTAAAGTATGGTGGTATATCAAGCTAAAGTGCGATGGACTAATAGGGTAAGGTTCGAGGGCTTTAAAAACGTTAAAGAACATAAGATGTAAAAATAGTCCTTTTGCAAAATCTAGTATTCTAAGGTATACCATATGTGATAGGCATTATAATCTACTGGTAGGCTGAAGTGATTGTTTTTTAAATTTAGAAGACCGACCACTAATAATTGCTAAAAAGGTAATTTAGGTGTCACAAAATACTATATTTCTTGTAAATGAATTTTTAACAATTCGTGCGTATTAAATATTGTGATAATTGGCGTAGCTTGCAATTCACACAGTCTATCACTAATGGGAACACCTCCCCTTACAGTCATCATTGTAAATTACAAATACAAAATTTGATTATTGTCGGAATATGTAACATTTGTTTGTTAAGCTTTAATTTAAATGAGAGAAAAAGGCGATGTTCGCAGAGTTTTCTCCTTTTTCGTAGTGACTACACATACATGTTATATTTTCCTATAATGTACAAACTAATATTTTAGCCGACAATTTATAATTTACGCATGCAAACATGTACCTTTATTTTACCGATGTTACTTTTTGAAGCGACAATAATTTAACGAGGACCGCAAACAGGCAAAGTAAACTGCAACATAAACAATGATTTAAATGTATCCATTCGCTTCCAATAAAAGCACGATACAGGATATTTATGCGAATACTATTTTGTATCTAAATAGTAAAATGGTCGACTGCAGGATACAAGTTCTTCTTCCAGCTACCAAAAAAAAAAACACATTTGCTTCAGATGTCAAAGCAGGGTTAGGTTTAAATTAATTATTAATAAGTCATTGACATTTGGTTTAACAGTTGTTAATCAAATATTAGTAATTTATCTTCCGGCGTGTTCATTTTTAGTTTGTATAAACGACTGTTAACGTCATAATCAAACTACGTTTCTTACGTCTATACTTTCGCGGACCATCAGACTTTAGCGCATGGAGGCATCGCACTTTAGTGTATACCATCGCACTTTAGCGTCCCCATCGCACTTAACAGTCCTACATATATATACATGTTTTTTGTATATATGTATATGTATGATCATCAAAAACTTACATCAACTAGTAACTTCTTTGTAATTTTCGACAATAATCATATATCATTTTTCATTTCTATGGTGTGTTTGTGTTGTGTTTTATCTAAAATTCTCCAGCAGACAAGCAAGGATTTCTATACAAATCTTTGAGCAGCCCTCAATTTAGTCTACTGAAATGGTCGCCTGGGTGACTTTAAAAGCTGATTGGCAACCAAAAATTCATAACTGATCGCTATTAGAATATTGAAAATCTGGCGACCGTGATTTTCGGAAAGTTTGCCCTGATCAGAGTCGGGTTTTAAAAAATCGTCTGAGCGCTTGACAGTGACACAAATTTTTACTATATTTCAAGCGCCTTTTAGATTTAAGGTTGATCTTGTCAGTGCTTTATTGCATCAGGTACTTTTAGTTCATTTGTAAGCAATTTGTTGTCGTTGACTTACTGACAGGATTTATATATATCTATCTTCGTATTTCCGCACTCAGTCATGACTTGGACTATTACGTGCCGTTAAAAAGAAAACCATTGGCATTTATAGATTGTGTATATTGAAAGCACATGGTCAAGCCTCGTTCTTGATTTCGTCAGTAAACGGATGGAAACAAGGTCGGGACAATTTTGTAACTTGTTCTCATAGATTAAATAAAATACTGGCTACAATTTAGCAAACAATTTCAGATATTCACTTGACCGATCGAGCAATCACCAGTGCTTCTGCACAAATCCGATGAGATTTTTACTATATTTGGGCTTTGGGCTACCGCTTAACGTCACAGACTGTTTTAAAACATGTATATTGTCAATGAATATAATATCAAATAAATCATGTGGTTTTTAACAGTTGATTTACACAAACTATTTTCTACACTCGTCAGCATAAAAACACAACAAAAACTTAATACTTTTATTTCACAAGGTTGTTAAGCTATAAAAAAATGTAGGCGACCTGAAATTATTTCCTGGCCACTGAAATTTTGAGTTGGCCACTAAATTTTCATGTCTGGTGGCCAATTGGCAACCTCATTTCAGAAGCTACTTTGAGGGCTGTTGAGATAAGCAAAGAAAAAGAGCAGATTTGACCTTATTTTTCTTTTATCATTTCAAATAGAAATAAACTATTTGAACATTTTTTTTGTCACATGGAAAAATATCTTGTCTTCAATGATTCTAATAATTAGGTTATTATACATATTACTATACTGGAAGTTCCCCAATAGCATTTTGTCAAAGAACAAATTAATAATAATTATTGTGGTTTTGATAAATTCTGTGGTATTACTTTGAAGTTCAACAACTGATATGCTTGTAAAATGTTTTAGAAGGAATTCCATAAAAAACGTTATTGTCTGAGCTTAAAGTAAGGGTTGGTCAGGTAAAACTTAACAAAGGAGTAGGCCCGGTAAGACTCCTTTTTGGCCCCAAAATATAGCGTTTTTACAAAGTTGTAAAATTATAAACTCTTAGTTTTTTATTGGAAAGTAGAATATTTATGTAACATAAATATGGGCTGTTTTTGGTAATACAATGGAAATGCATCAGGTGCTAGCATCATTATTTCATGCAAAAATACTGATATCTTCACAATTTAAACATTTTTACTAATTTTAAGATGGTTTTTGCCTAAAATTGAAGTGGCCACACTTGTGTTCAGTCTTAATATTTAAATATATGTTGTATTCAATAATACATAACATATATAAATGTTGAGAGTGAAGACGAATGCTGCCAATTCCATTTTAAACTAAAACCATCTGAAAAGTGATGTTAAATGGCATATTTGATAGATTTTTCATATTTAAGCTTGAATTTGAGCGTTTTTAATGACCAAGACAGTCCAAATCTTTTACAATAACCATTTGAATGGAATGAAGTAGACACTTGAGTGTTTAAAAAATGTCAAAAATCTTTCATCAGATGTACTTCGAAATTTAGGCCGAAATTAGCCCTTAACCGGCCTTCTCCTTTGTCTGGTGTTGTGCATGTTAACATAATCTTCATTTGGATTAGGAGTTCCAAATTTTGTTCTGCTTTGACTGCCACTGAATTCCTATCTAACCGCATTGTACTTTTTTCCTAAATATCAAAACCAGCAAGATTTAGTGTAAGCCACCACTCACTGGTTTTTACCCTTGCGCTTGGGAAATTTCTTGTACATATAGATGATGATGATGGATGGCTGCTTAACGTCCAGCGTCAAATTTATATGCATATTCAGGACGAGAACATTGAGAATTTGAAACAACTAAGTTCGACTCATCAGAGATTAAAATGCATAGATCAAAAGGGAATTTTGCCAGGACCGAGAAAATACTTTGACGCATCAGAGTTTTTGACACAACAATTAAGAAACTACGGTTCGAATTAGCTCAGGCAAAGTTGACCTTAAATGAATTTGGCTATTTTAAGGTCCCTTTTGAAGTTTTGGTCAGCTTATCAGGGGCAGCTCTGGCTCCAAAAAAGTTGGAGCCAGAACAAAATCGCCAGCTGCTATATTGTGTCACCAGTTTTGAAAACTTGGAGCCAACTTTAGAGCCAGCTAGAGTCTTGATTTCCTCTACCAAAATTGAAACCATGTACAATTTAAATTTCTTATGCACTGTACATCATTTGCCATGATAGACTATGGTATTTATTGCATAGGGTTTTGTATACATGAAAAAAAAACATGTGTACTTTTATTTTCTTTGTCAGTACATTATGTATTTCATAAGTATAGGACAATAAAGATTAAAACAAAGCAGCTGTTTTCCCACAAAACAGCATATTGTATGTTTTTGATTGAATGTTTATGTCTCCAAACAGTGACTAATGAGAAAATGTTTTAAATTAAAAAAATTAAGAATAGAAAAAATGGGCAATTAAATGAAGAAAAGAGAAAAATGGGTGTTTATATACATAATAGTGAATATTTGTACAAAAATAAAGAATACAGAAAATTATGACCCAAGCACCCTACCCATCCTCCTACCAAGAACCTCTTAACTTTGCCCATAACTCAAAAGACCTCCTAAACCTATAAATTCTAAAGTCAGAAGTATGTAGACATATTTAGAGTAGGTATCTCAATATTAGGAAAAAATGAAATAGAGTTATCTTTCTTTATTTGGGTGTGCTCCTTCTTCGGAGTATCATACACAGTAGTCAGTAGAAGTGAATACGATCAACAATGGCGGCCGGTTTTGTTATTTTCATATCAAAAGTGAGGGCAGGCAGAGACAAATTACATCTGAATTTACCATTTTTTACGGAATACAAGTAAAAGGATGTTTTCCAACACGTTTATTATGGTTTTCGTCTGTCTGTCAATTACGTTATCTTCATGAAACTACGGTAAACGTTGCCGAATGAAAATTTCTTCAAATCATGAATATGATGAAATGACAAATGCTAACTGACAGATTCTATTTGAATTAAATAATGTTGATGATCATTAATGACCCATCCGATAAACGTATTAACTGTAACATCAGATTATGACACCTGTTGTAACGGTTGATTAGCTTGGGGTCGTAAACAAAGTCATAAACTTGTCACCAGGTAATATTTCATACAATTTCTTCAATTTAAAAGAAGATCGATAATATTTATACCGTTACATTCAAGAAATGAAAATTTTGATGTAGGAAAATGTTGGCGCCAGAAATATCGCCAGCAGCCGAATTTTGTCGCCAGATGAAATAAAAAATCGCAATTTGCGACATTGGTGACGCCCAGCGCAGTCCCTGCTTATGATGTATTGTTATTCAAATTGCTGACTTAAAATCATGAAAATAAAACTTATTTTATATATGATATAGCATCTTCATGTATTTTGATCTTATACATCCTTGACTTTAAATATATACAACAAATAGAGAAAGTTGATGAATGCTTTTGGCCATGCATTGTAGGGTAAACAAGTTATACAACTACAGTCTACATTCTACAAGCTCAAATTGTAGACATTACATGTACATCGTACTGAACCTGTGCATTATGTCAATACATGGGATACTATCAAAATAATTATGACGTCTTGTAAGGCTATTCTTATGACGGCTTCCCAGCATAAAAATAGTATTGCAAGATGTCACAATTACATGTATTTGGACTAGAGCATAGGGATGCTGATGCACCAGATCATGCCAGATGTAAGACAGGCATTTCTTCATCCCCCTTTTCTGATTTCTGAGTGTAATGTGCAAGTTGTGATTACATATAAGTCTTTTTTATAATGTACATGCATTTTATGATGTTATAAAAAGATTCTGCATACAGCCAAACCATTTAATAACATGCATGTTTACAAAATTTCCCTCCATAATGGCTATGAATAACGGGAAGGTCTAAAAACAGGACAGATAAAACCAGGACAGTTATTTTCGATACGTTTTCATCTGTAACTTTTGTTTTTACCAACATATTGTTAAAATTTAAATTGTATAATAAAGAACAGGGTATATACTTACATTATTTGTAAAAATATTTAAAATAAAAAATTAATAAGTTAAAAAAAATCTGCCAGGACAATTAATTTTCAAGAAAAAAATGACCGAAATTGCCGAGAAAAATTTACTTATAATTGAAATAATTTCTCCAAAACAACTGTCTGGCATAATATTTTTTTACGATTATAAAGTTTAGGGAATACTCATTCTAAAAATCTAGAATTTAATATTTTTTTCGATTTTTAAAGGTAAAAAAATCTGCCAGGACAGTAGCCTATTACGTTAGAAATTTTGTTGAAATCAGCTCAAAATCAAAATATAAAGTTAAATATCTTCTTCAAAATGAATGTCTGGTAAGCAAATTTTGATTCATTGGAAAGTTTAGAACATAAGCTTTATGAAAATATAAAATTATGTGAACTTTTATTTTATTAACACAAAAAAAATCTGCCAGGACAGTAGCCTACTCCGTTAAATTTCTGTTTAAATGGCGGAAATTAACAACGCAATTTCTAACTATAAATGAAATAGTTTCTGTATTGCGATTGTCTGGCATACTATTTTGTTACTGTTATAAAGTAACAGACCCAATTATCAAATAAAATAAAGAAATTCAACAATTTTCATTTTTAAAGTAAACAAAAATCTGCCAGGACAGTAACTTATTATGTCTTAATTAACTTGTGGAGAAATTGGTTTCAAATCGAAATGGAAAGTTGAATAGATTATTACCATTTTTGTTATTCGTTGTAAAGTTTGAACAATAAATTTTAGGAAAAGATAAAAATATTCATTTGATAATAGATTAATACCTCAAAAATCTGCCCAACAGTCGTCCTATAGCTAAATATTTGGATGGCACGTGCCAAACTTTACGACCAGTCATTGAATCTGTGTATTTGTGTATTCTGTTATGTCAACCGTAAACGAGCGTGTGGTAATGAATACCTATGAGAAGATATTTATTGTTTTAAGTTATAATTATTTATTAAGAATATAGTTGAAAAAAAAAACAATTCGAAACACTATTTGATTGTATATTTAAAAGTTAAATTTGATTAGATCTCAATTTTACCGCAAGCATCTAAGAGTACGTGTTATAGTAGTCTCAGAGCTCACTAACAACATCTTCAGAAATACAGCTTTCACATGATAAAAAACGTCTGTTGGTCAAGATACCAGAAGTTCAGAAACAAACTAATTCCATAGATTGTGGGTTGTTCGCAATTACAAATGCTGTAGAATTTTGTTTTACAAGTTTTTTCAGGTGGGATACATGTAGAATTTGACACTGAACTTTTTAGAGAACATCTTGTGATTTGTTTGGAAAAAGGTGAATTTATTCCATTTCCAAAGAAAAAAATTAGCATGAAAGGTAAACCGAAATATAAAACTAGTGTGGTGGAATGTAATTGTGAGTGTGGCAAATGTGATTCAGTAGAAGACATGTTAGGGTGTGAATGGCAGAAAGGAGTAAAGAAATGCAACATTTGGAAACACGTTTCGTGTACGGGGATGAAAGAAGGCACTCTAAACACATTACTAATTAGTGAAAATAAATACCTTTTGAAGGATTTGACACCAATCAGTGACTTTGAAGTTTTTATTACTGTCAAAACATAATTTACCTGACTTAATTTGTTAATATTTTACTTGTCTTCCGATGTAAAAAAAAAGATTTTGCAGTTTTTAACACTTGTGTGTTTTTATACGACCGCAAAAAAATTTTTGTGGTCGTATATTGGTATGACGTTGGCGTCGTCGTCGTCCGGCGTCGGCGTCGTCGTCGTCGTCGTCGTCGTCGTCGTCGTCGTCGTCGTCTGGCGTCGTCCGGCGTCGTCCGAAGACACATTGGTTTTCGCACTCTAACTTTAGTTTAAGTGAATGGATCTCTATGAAATTTTACCACAAGGTTCAATACCACAAAAGGAAGGTTGGGATTGTTTTTGGGGGTTATGGTACCAACAGTAAAGGAATTAGGGGCCAAAAAGGGGCCAAAAATAAGCATTTTTGTAACTTCCAGACATAACTTGTGTGTTAGTGTATGGATCTCTCTGACATTGTACCACAAGGTTCCATATCACAAAAGGAATGCTGGGATTGATTTTGGGGGTAATTGCCTCAAAATTTTAGGAATTAGGGGCAAAAAAAGGGGCAAAAAACAAGCATTTTTCTAGTTTCATAACAATAACTTGTGTGTAAGTGTATGGATCTTTCTGAAATTGTACTACAAGGTTCCATATCACAAAGGGAAAGCTGGAATTGAGTTTGGGGGGTAATTGCCGAAACATTTAGGAATTGGGGGCCAAAAAGGGGCCAAAAATAAGCATTTTTCTAGTTTCCAGACAATAACTTGTGTTCAAGTGTATGGATCTCTCTGAAATTGTACTGCGAGGTACCATACCACAAAGGGAAGGCTGGGATTGATGATGGGGGTAATTGCCTCAATATTTTAGGAATTAGGGGCCAAAAAGGGGCAAAAAACAAGCATTTCTCTAGTTTCAGGACAATAACTTGTGTGTAAGTGTATGGATCTTTCTGAAATTGTACTACAAGGTTCCATATCACAAAGGGAAAGCTGGGTTTGAGTTTGGGGGTAATTGCCCTAAACGTTTAGGAATTTGGGGCCAAAAAGGGGCCAAAAAACACATTTTTCTAGTTTCCAGACAATAACTTGTGTTCAAGTGTATGGATCTCTCTGAAATTGTACTGCAAGGTACCATTCCACAAAGGGAAGGCTGGGATTGAGTTTGGGGGTGATGAATCATAAGGGGGTTCAAAATATTTGTGGGGGGGGGATTTTTTTTTTTTCATTTTTTTTTTTCTTTTAAAATTTTCCATTTTAAGTTGGTTATTTCTGATTTATATTTAAAAGCAAATAATAATGATATGGTAGGAGATACACACCAAACAGGATGTGTAAATTATTATATAATAAGTATTGTGCAATAGCAAGAAATTTTCAATTGCGCAGTATTGCACAATAGCAAGAAATCTTCAATTGCACAGTATTGCGCAATAGCAAGAAATCTTCAATTGCACAGTATTGCGCAATAGCAAGAAATATCCAATAGCACAATATTGCGCAATAGCAAGAAATTGTCAATTGTACAGTATTGCGCAATAGCAAGAAATATTTAATTGCACAGTATTGTGCAAAAGAAGATACTTCGTATAAATTGCTTATTTCTTGACCAATTTCAATGGGGTTTTATTCTTGAATTCTTGGGTTTCTTTAATATGCTGAATCTAACCGTGTATTTAGTTTTTGGATTTTGGGCCCCGTTTTTTTAATTGGTCCAAATTGAGGTCCAAAGGGTCCAAAATTAAACTTTGTTTGATTTCATCAAAAATTGAATTTTTGGGGTTCTTTGATATGCCGAATCTAACCATGTATTTAGATTCTTAATTTTTGGTTCCGTTTTCAAATTGGTCTACATTAAGGTCCAAAGGGTCCAAAATTAAACTTAGTTTGATTTTAACAAAAATTAAATTCTTAGGGTTCTTTGATATGCTGAATCTAAACATGTATTTAGATTTTTGATTATGGGCCCAGTTTTCAAGTTGGTCCAAATCGGGGTCCAAAATTAAACTTTGTTTGATTTCAACAAAAATTGAATATATGGGGTTCTTTGATATGCTGAATCTAACCATGTATTTAGATTTTTGATTTTTGGGCCGCGTTTTCAACTTTGTCCACATTGAGGTCAAAAGGGTCCAAAATTAAACTTTGTTTGATTTCATCAAAAATTGAATTCTTGGGGTTCTTTGATATGCTGAATCTAACCATGTATTTAGATTTTGGATATTGGACCATAATAGGTGAATGTCTAATTTAAAATTTTTAAGTTCTTAGACCACATTCATTCTGTGTCAGAAACCTATGCTGTGTCAAATATTTAATCACAATCCAAATGCAAAGCTGTATCAAGCTTGAATGTTGTGTCCATACTTGCCCCAACTGTTCAGGGTTCGACCTCTGCGGTCGTATCAAGCTGCGCCCTGCGGAGCATTTTATTTTTTATTGTATTGTATGATGATTTATGTATATGTATGTGTATGAAATGTTTTTGATTAATAAAACATAAGCCCATGCCCGTTCAATGACCTGTCTGCTGCCTTTAATAAACTGAAAAGAGATCAAATTAATCAACATAACAAAATAAGTAAACAATGTTTTAATGAACACACAAGTAATTATTTTTCTAAATATATTCACTTTAATGATTCTAACAATGATAAAGCTTAAACTGCAAACTTTGAATAAAATAAAAAAATCATTCTTTGAAAATTATTTTAAATTTGAAACAAATTTCTTCACTAGTTCCAATATGATATAGTACTGTCCTTTGCAGATTTTTTTTACTTAGAGAAATGATTAAAAAATAAATTCAAAGATTTTTTGAATGATTTGGTCCTAATAATATCAAAAAAGTATGCCAGACAATGGTAATAAAAATACTATTTCATTTATAATTAAAAAATTACGTTGATTTCCGCCATATATTCAAACATTTAACATAGTTGGCTACTGTCCTGGCAGATTTTTTTTATGTTTACAAAATAAAAGTTCATAAAATTTTATATTTTATTAAAGCTGATAATACAAACTTTCCAATAAACACACATTTTCTTGCCAGACATGCATTTTGAACAAAATATTCAAATTTATCCATTGATTTGAAGCGAATTTCAACAAAATTTCTGACGAAAAAGGCTACTGTCCTGGCAGATTTTTTTTGTGTTAATGAAATAAAAGTCCATATTTTTTTATATTTTCTTAAAGCTATATATATTTCAAACTTTCCAATGAACCAAAATTTGCTTACCAGACATTCATTTTGAAGAAGATATTTAACTTTATATTTTGATTTTGAGCTGATTTCAACA